TTGTCTTTGTCTTTGTCTTTGTCTTTGTCTTTGTCTTTGTCTTTGTCTTCACCTTCACATTTATTTATGTCATTGTCGTTGCCTTTGTCTTTCCCGCCCTATAACTTTCTTTTCACTCACCTCACACGCATTTTTGATATTCAGCCTTCATCGTGGCTCAAATTTCCCAAATATTTTCTTCAAAAAAACACACCAATACACATTTTTCATAAAATTATGCTTCGTGAAATTTCAAACACTTTTCCAAAAAAAATATTTTCCGTATAATTTACCGTCCAACATTGCTTTAACAGTAAACATGGTCAGAAATGTTTGTTTAAGAAACAAGTCTATTTATATTTTCCTTAAAGGACGCCTGCGCGAACGAAGCGTAAATCCTAGCAACTGCGATTATTCTGATTTATAACAGACATGATCGCATGTGGACGGTTTTGCGGGCGATCGACGCTACTCTTGGAGATGACTTCCATTCGATTTCACTGCCTATGCTATAACAATATTCAAGGCAATAGTGCTGGCTATACTGCTGGCTGATTGAGGTTGGCGGTTGCATGACCAGAAGCGTGACTTGTATGCAAGCTTGTCGACAAATCGGGATATCAGTGTGGTACTTTATCTTTTCCTACACTCGTGAAAACTAAATTCGTGAAACTATATTCAATTTTTTTAAATTATATCGAAAGAGCCAGATGATGCTCCGATATCATTACCCTCCGACCAAACCTTAACGGTAGAGATCTGTTCGGCATTGCGTTCGGCCAGTGAGATGTCTACTGCTATTTTCCTTAGAGCTATTGGACACGCAAACGATACTAAAAGGTATTGTCTGCGAATGATATTCCATCTACAAAACTGTCGGACTGTCATCCAGCTTACGGCTCTGAAATATGGCGAATCATCTCCAATTATCTATCGTTGGCACGACTAATATTTCCTAGCTTTAAGTCCTAGTTAAAGTTTAAACCAAAATGATTAAGTTCTCTGCGCGTTCAGGAGGTATCAAAGAAATGATTATGTTAATTTTAAATTCGCGATTTTTCGCAAAGTAAGAGGATTATTGCAATATAAAGTATAGGGAAACAAATATTACCTGGACCTCTACCAAAGTACGAACCTATCTGGGTTGTCCGAAAGAAAAGGTTTTTAAGTGGCCCACTTGACGTATTTTGATGTAATTTGAATTTAAATTTTTTTCTTTTAAATTTTTTTATTAGTCACTGCTTTACTAAACAATTAACATCTCAGCTCCTATATCAAGACACCCATTAAAAATTTGTCAGTTAAATCTTTGATATTCACTCTATCACCTGCAAACATGTTTTTTTAGCAACTTTCTAAATTGTTCATTAACAAACGTATGGAAAAGTGGACTTAAAAAAAAAATTAAAAATCTTTTATAAAACTCTGATTCTTTGTCAATAAAAAAGTACTGATTGATTTTTTTGATACAACCAATATTTATCGATTTATGATGTGATAAACAATGTCTTACGGCGAGACACCTAATATTTTTGTTGTTGTATAACTTTTAAAAATTTTATTTTTTTAACACTCCTCGCGTTTTGCCATATCAGAGGTATTTCTACATTATACTCAGTTTATATCAAAATCAAAAAAAAAAAATTATAGTTTTCATTGAGATAGCTTGGAATGCCGCTAATGCCATTTTTGATAGACTTTTTATGCTGACTACAAATTCGTAAGTATAAAGTTTCTATCAGCTACAAATTTTGAGAAAACCCCGCTCAAAGTGTCAAAAAATCGCGTTTTTGCAATATTTAAGAAGCTTTAGCAAAGGAACAAAAGGTGATAAAACCTTTCACTTAATCCTAAATTAAAGCTAGAACTCTCTTCTACTATCCCTGAAAACATTATCCTAGCACCTTGACCCGATGGTTACTTAGAGTCATTTATTGAACAATAAAAAATATACTGGAAAACTGTGCTATTGAAAAAAAATGTAACCAAAAGTTAGGTTTTGCTGTTCAATAAATGACTTTAGGTTCAAGGTACCGGCTAATCTGGCAACGTTCGTACTGTGCGGTCACTTAAACTTTCGCTTAAACTTTCGCTTGAAAGAATTTCCAAAGTTTAACTCGTTTACAAAGTGCTAAGCAGTTCTAATTTGTGTTATTCACACCGTAAAAAGTTTACTGAAGCCAAATTCCAATAAATTGACTTGATTTAGTCATAAAGTGCGTTGATTGAAAAGTTTTATTTAGTCGGCCTTCGTGCATATTTGCCTGTTTTGGTGCATTATTGTTGCTTTTGCGTGAGAGTGTAAGGAATATCGCATTTGTTTGTTCATTTTGCTTTCTTTCGCGCTTTACACACACCTTTGTTTATCATCGACAGTCGCTTTCTTGGTGACAGCTGATTTTGTTAACTCAGTGGCTTTAAAACTGTTAAGTTCAGCACGGTTTCTAACCATTGAACTTCACTAAATAAGACCACTAGCTATTAAACTGCCAATTACTGTGAGCTTGAAACGTTTTCGTACAATACATTCCTAATTTCGCTATTTTTATTCTTTTTTAATAAAATTCGCTAAAAATGTCCTGTCTGTTCGAAAAATGTAATGTAAAAGCCGGTTCGGACCGTTTTGTGGCGTGCTGGCTTTGCGATGAACTGTCTCATTTAAAGTGTGCTGGTATTAATGGGAGAGTTCTGGATATGATTATTGGAGACAA